CTTTTAGGATGTCTAAAGGGAGCTCTGGTGGCGTAGTGCCTAAGGCATTTGACTGCTAACCAGAAGGCTGGCGGTTCAAACCCACCAGCCACTCCCTGGAAGGAAGGCTGGGCAATCTACTTCCGTAGTGATACTCCCTGGAAACCCAAGGAGGGGCCACTATGAGTTGGATCTGACTCCACGGCAATGGTTGCATTAGGATGTCTAAGAGGAGCTCTGGTGGTATAGTGCCTAAGGCATTTGACTGCTAAGCAGAAGGCTGGCAGTTCAAATTCACCAGCCACTCCTCAGAAAGAAGATTTGGCAATTGACTTTCATATTGATACCGCCTTGAAAACCCAAGGAGTAATCACTAGTGGTTAAAGCATTTGGCTGCTAACCAAAAGGTCAGTGGTTTGAACCCACCAGCTACCAATGAGGCAATCTATTTCCATAAAGACAGCCTTGGAAACCCTGTGGAGTAGTTCTATCTTGTCTTAAAAAAGGGTCACTATGAGTTGGAATTGACTTGATGGCAGTGGATAGGATGGCTAAAATAATAATTTAAAAAACAGAAAACAACAAATGTTAGTAAGGATGTGAGAAAACTGGAACCCTTATCCATTGTTTGTGGGGAAACAAATGGTACAGCTGTTGTGGAAAACAGTGTGGAAGTTCATCAAAAAATGAAAAATAGAACCTAGTAATAGGTATATACCTAAGAGATTTAAAAGCAAATATTTAAAAAGAGACTTGTATACCTATGTTCACTGTAGCACTGTTCATAATAGCTAGAAGTTAGAAATAACCTAAATGCCCATCAACAGATAAATGTATAAACAAACTGTGGTACATACATACAATGAAATACTACTCAGCTAGTAGGAGAAATGAAGTCTTTATATAATATGCTACAGTATGGATACAGCTTGAAGACATTATGCTGAGAGTGAAATAAGTCAATTAGAAAAGGACAAATATTGTATGATATCATTTACATAAAAAGACAAGAAAAAGGCAAATGTATAGAAAACAAACTTTATTAATAGTTGATGGGGTAGGAGGGAGGGGAAAAGAGGAGGTTAACAGTAATGGAAATACCATGTTGATTAAGGGTAGGATTGCACAGCTGATTATTGTAATTGCTCTCAGTAAGCTGTACACATGTAAAAAGTTGAATTGGCAAAAGTTGTGTGATGATATATTTACAACAATGACAAAAAAAAAAAAGAGTAGCAGCTAAGTCTGCTTGTGTACAACATGGGACTTGGTTCCTTAGTTTGTAGGTTTAGGGTCATGGTTTCATGGAATATCCCAGTTAAGTGGTCAAATAAGATGTTTAGTGCTTCTACCTCCTAGTTTGTTGCATAGTGCCTGGAGTCTTAAAAGCTTCCAATGCCCATCCAAAGCACAACAAATGGAGCAACAGAGGAAGAAGGAGTAAGGCAAAGGAGGATATGGAATACATGGTTAATTGCCTCCATGAACTGCTTCCTTTGCCTTGACATCTCATAAGAACTGGATGGTGCTCAGCTATCATTACTGAACATTTTGATTAAAGATTCCATAGAAGAATCCTGTTCAAAAAGGAGAAAATGCAAGACAGAATTTCAAATTCTCATGGAATTTCTGGAGCCATGAAGGGTAGATGAATCCCTGAAACAACTCTTCTGAGATAATCTTTAAACCCTAAACCAAAAATATCTCATGAAGTCTTCTTAAAACCAAACAACAGTTTAGCTTAACTAGTGAAAAATGTCTGTCTTGAGCATTATGCTCTTTTAAGAACTATCTATATAGGATGAAACTGATAACATCAACTTGAAAGATTAGATAGGCACCTCAGGGGGCAGTGAGTTTATGTTGATGGGGGAGAAACAACTTAGAAAAGAAGGGTGAGAATGGCTGCACAACTTAAAGAATGTCAATATTATTAAGTGGTACATGTAATAACTGCTGAAATGGTGTATGTTTCTGTGTATACTTTCAACAACAACAAAATAAATTTAGAAAAAAAAAAGCTAGGAATGGTTGCTATTGCAACAACGGTTAGCTCCCCTGAAACACAAATCAATGCCAAGCTACAGAAAGGAAGGAAGATACTGAAAAGAAGGTCAGAAAAGGAACTTGCCACCATCATTATCCCAGGGGATACAAAGGGAGAAAGGTCAGACATACCCTTCGCCAAGGCAGAAGCTGTTTGGAGAGCCATTGTAGTTTGGGGATGGGGCGCTGTTCACTTGGTAGGCCACATCAGGCCACGGAGAGCACTGAGGAGAGAGCACAGGGAGCAATGACTCGAGGGCATGGGGACTCGAAGAGGCCAGGGCCAGGTATAGGGCTGACTGTGCTCCTCTGGCCCTCCCAGGCAAGCATCCATCAAAGTCAAAAAAAAAAGAAAAAAAGCCACAGAACCTTCAATATGCAACCCACACCAACCCATTGCCCACAGTGAGCTTAGGGATGGGGACGGAGAGGACTCAGGCCACCCAGATGAAACCAAATATAGTAGAGAAGAGACCTAATGTTCAGTTAGTCCTCCCCAGAGCAAGTGTGAGATGTATCTCTCTGACCTTCCTTGTAGTCAAACCCAATCATCATCAACCACATGATTCCTGGGTCCATAAGAAAATACAGGAAAAAAACAAAACAAAACAGGCCAATTGTGCAGAAGAAGGTTTTCCTGGTGCAGACAAACGTGTATAATACTTATTACAGAGAACATGGATCACAAAAAACTTTCAAACAAAATATACTCAGTAAAAGTACTACAAAAAAAGTGTGCTTTTTGCAAATAGAACCTGGGCTGTGTAATGGTGTTCAGGATGCTGACAGGATCCCAGGCAGGTAGAAGAGGTGCATCTCACAGTCACCAAAAGCAGCACAACCTCACACTTATTTAATTTGGGCATTCTGCTAAGAGCTAAGGAGACAGAAATGTGTAAGAGGTGATCCTTGTTCTCTAGGAACTTCTTGTACAAAAGTCAAAACAAAAAAAAATATGGGAGTCTCCCAAAGAAAGAAAAGACACACAGGTTTTGTCCATTGGATGAAGTCTATGGGTGGAGAATACTTTCTCCCCTTCCCTGCAGTGACATCCCCTTGGAGAGCACCAATTTAAAACATTCCTGAAGATTTACTATCACCCATCCAACCACAGGGCTGGTAAATATTTAACTCTGCTGCAAGTGTGGGATGGAATTTGTTGGTATTGATGAGCTGATAGACGTGGGAGCCACATATACCATCACTTGACACGTGACTCTGGACAAGGTCACTGGCTAAGCAGGGATTTCCATCAACTGCGCTGCATAGTGACCAGGGCATTGGGTGAGGTGCACCAGGACCTCACTTATACTGGGAAGGTCAGCAGGGTGTCTGAGGACAGGAGAGGGAGGGCAAAGTTGAACCACAAATGGCAAAGTAGTCATGGTGGAAGGTGATGGGAGTGGAAAGCATTCCAAGCAGAGCCCTCAGTTCAGGCAAAGGCATGGAGAAGAAAGTGTGGGGAATAGCTATGGGCAGAAGTTGGTCTGATGTCCAACTCAGAAAATGCAGGCCTTGCCTCCTGGTGCCCCTTTGCCTGCCCAGCAATTAGAGGCTTCACAGTGTGGCCAAGGTTGGAGGAGGGCTCTTCTCACACCTGTTCTCTCTGACCACTGTCATCCTTGGAGTCAGGTAAAATATACAGTACACATCTATCTATCTTTATAATTAAAAGTAGCTTTTGTAAATAATTCTTATTGTAAATACTCCTCTGCATGTGGCTCATTACACTCAAACACATATGCACACCACATATATGTATGTATATATGTATATATGTATTCACACAGTATTCTTACCTATGTTTGCACATGCACGCATGCACACACAAACAATCACACACACCAACATGCGTGCATGCACACACACACAGAACGCTTCATCAGCAAGGACAAAGTTATTGTTCTCTTAATACACTCTGTGCTCAGGCCTGACCATTAGCACAGCCTTAACCCACACATTTATGGAGGGCCTTCTGCGCAAGTCAAGCCATTCAATGAACAAACACCAACATGTGTTTGTTGGTCTCATTGAAAAACAACAGTTGGGAATAATTTGTTTGAAAACTAATAGGGCCTAGCAAAAGAAGAGGCTCTGGCTGTGACCTGTGAGAGGAAGAAGAGGAGCTTGTGACATGGAATATCTCTGAAGTACCCATTATGGTTGGTATAGGTGACAGGTTTGAGAAGAATCCAACATCTTTTGAAATAAGAAAATAAAAAATGTACATACCCTCTGACCTAGTGATTCCACTTCTAGAATCAAATCATATGTATACTCTTAACCATGCACAGAATTTCACATGCACAAGGTTATTCACCGCAACACTATCTGCAAGCCATCCTCACAATGAATGGTGCACAGCTGGATAAAGAACTAGAGAACTCTTTGTGAACTGATAGGATTTTATAAACTGAATGGACTTCAAGTCATACTAGTAAATGGAGAAAGCCAAGTTGCAGAACATGTGTCTATGTGCAAGATTGGTATAAAAGAACAACTGGTTCTATATGTATAGAAAGGTTGGGTAGGCACAGAGAAACTAGAGATGCTGGCTGCCCCTGGAGAGAGAAACTGAGTGGCTGGAGACAGCACTGGGAGGGATGCTTTCTGGTGTATAATCTTGTACCTTTTCAATTTTGAACCATGTGAATATAGTACCTATTCAAAAAAAAAAAAAAACAACAAATATCAATCTAATCTTTAAAAGTGCATTTGAATACAGTGAAGAGACAGAAGTGATTTCTGAAGCACTTCCCCAGCCACTGGGCTCATCAGATGACCACAAACTCCAGACACATGGAACACACCACAGTTTAACTGAAGCTCAGAAGAGAAATACTGACCCAAGATGGGCAATTTTACAACAATCTCAACCAAATGCAATACATTGCTCCTTGCAGAAAGAAGGGCACTGGAGGCTTTGTTCCAACAGAGAAGCCACTCACCTCTGTGAGGATAGTGGTTTCATAGGACGGCTGATATTTCTCTTTCTCCTGGGCAGTTCTTTTCTCCATCTTCTCCCGGTCAGTTTTCTGTTTCCGGTCAGCTCCCTTTGGCTGCAATTGCAGAGTACAGGGGTACAATTAGTCCAGAGTGGGCAAAGACAGGCTGCTGAAGGAAGACCCAATGCTGAGTGGTGATTCCAAGGCCTGCAGACTCTCAGCTCTCTCCAGAGCCCCAGAAACCCAGGTAGGACCTCACAGACTAGAGAACATCTCTCTCACTTCCCAGCCTCAAATACATGTTCCTGGAACATTCTTCCTTCCTCCAAGGGAACTCAGGAGCCTCTATGGAGTCCAGTTCACTCAGCTTCTCATGGATTATGCTCGGAAAAGCCCTTTTCCCATGGCTACTTTCTTATAGAAAAGAATTTTTAATACTCATATACTCACTGCCGTTGAGTCAATTCCAACTCATAGCAACCCTATACCACAGAGTAGAACTGCCTCATAGGGTTTCCAAACTGCCACATCTTTTTCCTGCATAGCAGCTGTTGGTTTGGAACTGCTAACCTTTTGATTAGCAGCTGAATGCTTAACCACTGAGCCACTAGTACTCCTTGAACCTTCAGGAGCCATGGGAAATCCCAATGCATTCTTGGGTGGCTGATGGAGAGTCAAGGTAATGAAGGACTACTAGGGGCAGCTGGTTTTGTTTTGGTCTACCCTTGCAGGCTATGAAATCCTGGAGATATGATGAAGGCTGCCACACCTCCAACTTCTAGAACTCTCCCATGCTCCAGCTTACACTGCACATGCAGGGTAGTGTCTTCATCCTGACATGGCCAGCACATACATGGACCTGCCATGAGTATATCATGAAGGGCAGACACTGCCAGTCCTGGTCATCCAGCAAACCTGAGGGACCTATGAAGGGTGACCAGGCATCACAGGTACTACTCTTCCCCTCATTTATAGATTAGGAAAGTGAGGCTAAAATCAATCATTCCGATTGAAGAGTAAAGTACACCAGTGTTCATGATAGCACTATTCACAATCTCCAAAAGGTGGAAACAACTCAAGTGTGCATCAGCAGATGACTGGATAAACAAAATGCAGTACATACATACAACAGAATAGTATCTGGAAATAAAGAAATATGAAATCCTGATACATGCTATGACATAGATGAAACTTAAAAACTTAATGCTGAGTGGTATGTCAGACACAAAAGGACAAGTATTGTATGATACCACTTATATATAATGTCTAGAATTGGCAAATGCATAGAGACCAAAGTTTATTAGTGATTACCAAGAACAGGAGGAGGAGAAAATGGGGAGTTATTGCATAAGAGGCACTGAGTTTCTATTAAAGATGATGTGAGTCCTTTGGACATGGATACTGATGATGGTAGCAAACATGGTGAATGTAATTAATGTCATTGAATTGTACAAAAGGAGTTAAAATAGCAGTTTGTTATATGTATTTGTTATATGTATTTCACCACAATGAGAAAAAAGAAAAGGAAGTAATATGTATGTATGAACCCATCGGCAAGTTCTGACATTAGACTCAAAATACCCCTAGAACTGAGCAGTTTCATTGTGTATGCAGGAGAGTTGGTTCTCAAGCTCAATGGCTTTATTATACCTTCACATTATAGGAAACTTTAAGGATTTTCATTCTGGCATGTGCCTCCCTCATGCTACAGCTTCAGACTCCTGCTCAAGGGCTTTTGGAGAAACAGCTCTCAGGGTAATGCCCACCCTCAACCATAGATATAGACAGGCTTGCAGGGCTCATATGGGTAATGGATGATAGATCCAGTGGCCAGAGTGAGAGTCTAGGGGAAGGCATCAGGGCCCCAAGTGTGTGGCAGCCAAATCCATCATTCCTGCTTCACCTCCAGAAGAAAGCCTTTTCCTTCCAGCCCAGAAGCCACAGGAAACAGCAGGATCATGCCAGAAGGTGGCCAGGCATGTATGGGGCACACACACAAGCCTCAGTGAGCCTGCAAGAACTGGCTGTCCAAGAGGGGCACTATCTGTCCTTCCAGGCCTCTCACACCTCAGAGACATAGATACCCCACATAGAGCTCCAAAGCACTTCCAGTAATGGGGTGATCTGAGGTGAGAGGAATGACTGAGAGTTTGACTTGCCTCTGCCTCACACTTGTTTACCCTGTCTTAACTGCTTTTGTGAACAGGGACAGTACACAAGGTGGGCACACCTCCTCAGGCATCCTACGAAGCCAGTTTTGAGTGACTTGGGGCCCCTACTTCCCTGCAAGAGAAGCTAAGGCCTTCCACAGGTACCTCAGACCAGGTAGCTTCCAGCCCAGTTCCCAGAATGCCTGATGTGTGCTTGGGAGCCTGATGGGCAGAGCCCTCAGTGCCCTCCCACACCTGAGCTTCTGACTCAAGTGTAAAAAGGAGAGCTAGCATGGGCCACGGGAAGGGCTGGTACTGCATGAGGGCAAAGATCACACCTTGTTCCTGTCTCCCATTGCCCAGCATGTCGCCAATGCCCCAGGGTACACCTAGATTAGGAACTGAATCACTGCCTGAGGGTAGACCATGACGGTTAGTTCCACGGATGTGGGTCTGTAATGGAATGAGGTGTTACAAGAGAAACATGATAGAAAAGATCACTGGCAGCATGGTAGCAGGCTTGTCACAGTGGATCAGAATCACAAGATCCCAGACTAGACAAATAAAAGCAGAGGCTAGAAAAACCACTGCATTAGTGGATGTAGTGGGCACAGTAATAATCCCAAAGATAGCTTCATCCTTATCTCCAAAACCTAAGAATTCATTAAGATTATGTGGAAAATCTGCTTGGTCACAGCCAGCTACCCAGAGAGACCAAGTAGTTGAACCTGTGGGCTCGGGACCATAGTCGCACAGGACATCAAGCTCAATTGGCATAACATACTACACAAAACATTGTTCTACCTCCTACTTTGGTGACTAGTGACTGGGATCTTAAAAGCTTGCAAACTGCCATCTAGATGCAACAATGGGTCTCTCCTTGTCCAGAGCAAAGAAGAATGAAGAAAACCAAAATTCATGGAAACAATTAGTCCTAGCAACTGGTACACCATCTGATCTGCAGCCTATTCTACTATGAGACCAGAAGAACTAGATGGTGCCCAGCTACCACTGTTAACCACTTGGAAGGGGATCTACGTAGGAGATGCTGCAAAGAGAGGGAGAACAATGTGGAACAAAACTCAAAACCATTAAAAAAAAAAAAATGGGGGACCAGGTTTGCTGGTCCGATAGAGCCTGGTGGAACCACTGAGACTATGGTCCCTAGCTGCCCTTCAGGTCTGGAATTGAACCCACACCTGTGTCTTCCAGCCAAACAAAAGACAAGCATATGAGTTGCATATTTGTCTGGTATAGATATGCTCCTTGGAGAGAACAATTATGGGAGAAAGAAGGACTGCTTATGCACAGGGAGACAGCTCAGGGGGCAGGAGTGCATAGAGGGATGGACACAGGGAAGAGGTAACTGTAGGGAGGAAGTGGGAGGGGAGCTGTTGCATTGTGGTGAATTGTGGTCAATGTCATGAGACAAAGTGTATGTGAACTGCTGTATGGAAAGTGAATTTGCTCTGTACATTTTCACCCAAATCACAATTTAAAAAAAAGTCCTAAAAAAAAAAATTAAAAAAAGATATGTAGAAAATGGGAATTAAGGCTACAGATGGAATTAAAGTTGCTAATCACCTGACCTTGAGATAGGGATACTAACCTGGATTACCCAGGCAGGCCTAACAAAGGTTCTTGAATGTAGAAGAGGGAGGTCAAAAGATGAGAGTCAGAGGAAGACTGGAAGATGGAGAAAGGAGCCATGAGCCAAGAAGTGCAGGCAGCTGCTAAGAGATGGAAAAGGCAAGGAATTGGAGCCTCTGGAAGGAAGCAGTCCTAGCAATGCCTTGATTTTGTCTTGGTGGGGCTCATTTTGGGCTTCTGACTTCCCAGACTGTAACATAATAAATATGTGTTGTTTTAAGTCACTACATTTTTGGTAATTTGTCACAACAGCAAGAGGAAACTAATAAAGAGGAGACATGAAATTTCCTATCGAAGTTGATTTTAATGCTAAAGCAGGTTTTTGAAGGTGCTCCCTGCTCTGGCAAGTGATACAAAAACACACTCTTATCACAACTTCAGGGACATTGGTGATTCAGTATTCCTGTCTTCCATGTGGGAGAACTGGGTTAGATTCCCAGCCACTGGACCTTAATGTGCAGCCACCACCCTTTCATCAGTAGAAGCTTGTGTGCTGTATGATACTGCACAGGTTTCAGCAGTTTCCAGACTGAGACAGACTAGGAAGAGAGGCCTGATGATCTACTTCCAAAAAATCAGCCCACAGGGTCCAATCTCATTGTGCATAAGTCCTCATGAGTCAGGGGCTGACTTGTCAGCAGCTAACCACTACCACCCATTCTTTCTCCCTCACCTGGCCAAAATCACTAACTGGTCATACATTCCACTCCACAGACCCCACCTGTGGGCTCAGAGTCCTGTGCTCACAGTTCTTAGGCAGCTAGTTCCTGCCACTTGGGACAGAACTGCCAACCTGATTACATGCCTTCCTATGGTGCAGGCACCACGGACATCCCCTTGGTTGTCCTATTTCTTCTGTGAGTGGAATGTTCCACAAATCACTACTGAGCATCTACTGTCTACCAGGCTCTGTGGAAGATGTTACAAGGAGGTAGATCACCTCTACCTTCCAGTGTGGTTAGGATATACCAACCATTCAGTTGTCAGAACGATGGTCTTACCTGTGGACATTCCTACATCCTCTTACCTCTAGAAGGTCCACACTGATCTGGTTTTCTAACAAGCTCCATCTGAAAAGACTCACTGTTGGATGTCTAGCTCCATCTGATGGACTTATTCAGAGGCCCTAAATTTACCTGAATGTGAGCAAGGGGGAGGTTGGGAAAGTACTGGGGACTAGTTACTTAGGCAACTCCCACCAGCAGGCAGGTCAACATCCTTTTCTCCACAGGCTGTGAGGCAGGTCTGGCCTGCTGGGAACAGAGCTACAGGCCTACCATGATCCCCTGCCCTTAGGCCTGAGAATGGCCCTGCCACAATCCGCCCTCCCTTTCCCTGAGGCTACTACACTAGACCAGGAGCTGGATCACAGCTACCATCTCCAGGAAACAGTCAGTCAGTCCAGACTGATGAGATGAAAAACAGTGATGGGTGACTATAGGGGGTGAGGCAAGAAAAGGAAAGAGGAGAAAATATCTTTTTCCCAGCAGGAAGCCACTGCCGAGAAAAAATGATGTCAAACTCTAAACATAAAGATATGTGGGCAGGCCCCCAGGAGGAGTCTCCTGATTTGATTCTTACCAACCAAAACTAAACCTACTGCCATAAAGTCAATTGACTCATAGTGACCCTACAGAACAGAGTAGGATCATCCCATAGGGTTGCTAAGGGTGTAAATCTTTACAGAAGTAGACTATCTCATCTTTCTCCCACTATGCAGCTGGTGGGTTTGAATCATTGACCTTTTTGTTAGCAGCTCCATGCTTTAACCACAGCTCCACTGTTGTTGGCACAACAACGAGTCGGACCCGACTCATAGCGACCCCTCCTTGGGTTTCCGAGGCAGTATCACTACGGAAGTAGATTGCCCCATCTTCCTTCCAAGGAGTGACTGGTGGGTTTGAACCGCCAGCCTTCTGGAGCTCTTTTATTTGATTCTAAAGGGGACTCTAGATGTTAGCACCTGTGGACAACTACAAGGTACTTGAGAAGGAAAAAAAAAAATTAATACATAAATCCTTATAAGTTGAGCTGAACACTGACATCCAAGGGACCTCCCATATTTCCGGTGATGGCTGAGCAGATGCCACACCTAAAAGGATGCCTACAAAGGGACAAGGCCATCAGCCCATGGCCCTGTAGCCCATCCTCATCCAATTTTCCAGCTAGAACCCTGTGCTAAAGAGACACCGAGGTCCAAACAGCAAGAGGGTAAGTGCAGGCAGGAACCTTTAATAGATGCAACCGTTGGCCAGAAGGAGCAGGAGGTGAGGCTGTCCTACCTTGAACACCTTGATCTGGCAGCTGGCAGAGTGCAAGTGCTCGGTATACTCCCCATTCTCATTCTGTTTAAATGTGTCGATCTGTACTCGGAAGGGCACACCCTTCTCACCCCCATGCTTCCTTGGCGTAAATTCTGTGCTGATGCAGTGTACCTAGAAGGGGAGACATCAGGCAGGTAGCAAGGTGGGGCAAGGGTGGGGTTTGGACTCTGAGGGTTCCTCTCCAAATGGAGGTCTCCATCACTGCCTTATAGGGTGCAGACCTGCCTCAGCCTCTCTACTCTCCCACTCTGTCCACTCCATCAGGTTGAAGGCGTGTCTCCCTGCTTGCAAAGGACACACCCTCCCAGCTTTGTCCCTTTACTTCAGAGGCCTTGCTTGACCACGTGAGCCCCACCATTGTCTCTTGCCCTGAGACCTCTCCCTCAGTGACTCTCACAGACCTCAGAGTAGGGACACAACTTAGCCCTTAATCTCTCTCTATGGCCTATGTCCAGGTTAATCTGGCCAGACTAGAAGCATGAGTAAAAGGTTAGAACCATGACCAGAGAGCTAGAATGATTTCTACATCTCTGTTAAGCACATAAAAGGCACGTGGTATGCCTTTATTATAATAACATCGATGATAGATAACTTTTATTGAGTAATTAATTACTATGGATCAAGTACTGCACTAATGGCTTTAATTCATTATCTTCATAAGGTCTTCATAACAAATTCCTAAGATAGGTTCTATAGAAATAGCACCATTTGCAGAGGGGAAACATTCAAAGATGTGAAGAAACTGGCTAAAGTATACAGAGTAAGTGAGAGAACTAAGCTCAATCTGGAACCACAATGCCACAGCCATGTCCTTTACCATCTCTGTATTTATATAGGCTAGATACATATCTGGTGCTCAAAACCAGTCTTGATTATTACAGACTAGAAAATACTATGAAAAAAAACTTTTATTCTCAAATTATTTGTGCTAACAAACATCTATTTTTAAAAGCATATATATTCTATAAATACAATCTGTATCGATTTCTAATTCTAAAACATTTTACATCCTTTTTGCAGCCCTTGAAGCTAACCAGCACTGTGGTTCCAAGCAACATTCAGACTTTCTCTCTGTGGCTCTCTCCTTCAGTTTCCTTTCCTGGGATAAGAGACAGAAGACTATCAAGACCCTGCCCAGATTGGTTGGTTTTGAGGAGATGCAAAATGAACCCCAAAGCCCTGGCTTCCCACAGAGGGTAACATCTCCCCTTCCACTCACCTGAATGAATGCAGAGGTTCGCTTCGAGGGGTCCCACAAAAACTCGACTGCATTCAGCTGTGCCGGGCTGGCCCTTGGGTCCAAGATACCAACAGACAGTGGAATATCTGTGCACACAAAACACACATACAAAAGTGAATTGTCAGCTACTCCTAAAAAATTTGGAAGAACTCTCATTACAGGTGCAAATTCTTTAACCACAATTTGAAATGCCAAAAGCTCTGAAAACTAAAGGTGTATATAACCCATTTGGTAGAAAGCCTGACTTGAGTGACATGAAGATGTTTGTGGTCTTTATCCCATTTTGTGGGAACAGTCATTTCTCCTTCTATAGAAATATGATTATGCTTGATTGCCTGTTGGATACGCAATGCCATTGGTATGTTGTTGTTGTTGTGTCATAGCAAGTCAATTCTGACTCATAATGACTCTAAGGATAGAGTGGAACTTCCCCATAGGTTCTCCTACCTAGGCTGGACTCTATGGGACCAAATTGCCAGGTCTTTTCTCCTGCACAGCCACTGGTAAGTTCCAACCACTGAACTTTCAGTGAGTAGCCAAGCTCTTAACTATTATGCCACCAGGTTCCTTCTATGGGCATATGCAACCCCCTACTCCCATTATCATTCTAACTTCTGAATTCCAACACCCATCTGATCCCAAGGTTGTGCATAAAGGACTATGGACCTGAATCCCAAAATTCCATTTTCATTTCCCATCTGTGATGCCCACCTTTTCTTCATCACTTATCAAAATCTTTTAAGGCATGCTCCTTATGCAAAGGCTTCCCTGATACCCCCTGACAACTGGTCTTTGAACTTCACATGCCTTTCAACTCCATTGAAAAGGGACTCCATAAGGCAGAGCCAGGTGGTATATTCACTCTGCAAGCTCTCTACAGCCTCTACACAGGCTAGTAGAGTACTAAAGGGCCTGGCCAGGCATGGGTGCAGACGGTGTCCAAAAAGAGCCCTCATGTGCCTTGAGCACCTCATGTTCCACCTGGCCAGGTAACTCACCAATGTCCAGGATGCGGTCCCCTGGGCGGCTCCAGCGCCAGCCCTCCAACTGCTGGTGTTCCGTGTACTGTAGCCGACGGTCATGGAACACCACACGGATGATGCTCTGGTAAAGGGGGGTGGCAGAGAGGTAGATGAGGGGGGCCCAAGAGAGACTCACCTCTTCCCCCAGCCAGGGCAAGCTTCTCCTCCCCAGGTTACCCCAGCCCTCAAGCTCTATGTACTATATCTTCCTCAGAACCCCAACAGCACTCATAACAGCAGCAACAGTAATAATAAATGATTACCATTTTTTCCATGATTACTGTTATGGGTGAAACTCTCCCCCCAAAATATGTGTTGGAATCCTAACCCATATGCTTGTGGATGTATTGCCTTTGGAAATAGGCTTTGCTATGTTAATGAAGCTATCTCAGTGTAGGTGTGTTCTAAGCCTAATTGCTTCTGAGTTATAAGGATCAGCAAAGACACAGGGACAAGAGAACACAAATAGTGGAAGACAGAGGCCATGTGAAGAATGCCAAGGAACTGAGGAACCCTGGGGCCACATAAGCTGAAACAAAGATTGTCCCCCAGAGCCAACAGAGAGAGAGAGCTTCCCCTGGAACCAGTAACCTGAATTCAGACTTCTAACCTCCTGAACTGTGAGAAAGTAAGCTTCTGTTACTTCAACCCACCTACTTGTGGTATTTCTGTTATAGCAGCTCTAGATACCTAATCCTCGGAAGGAAGATGGGGCAATCTACTTCCGTAGTGATACTGCCTCAGAAACCCAAGGAGGGGTCACTATGAGTTAGGTCCAACTCGACAGCACATAACAACAATGACAACAGATACCTAATCGGAACCTCCCAGCCTCCTGTAGAAGCCCAGATGCTCAGAGCCCAACCAACATACATGGGAAGGAGAGCAGTTCCACCAGCCTCACCTTGACATATTTCGTGTTCAGATCTTGAAAGTCTCCCAGCTTCCGGTTCTCCAGGAGTCGGATTTCATAAGATTGACCTGGAGGGCATTAATGGTACATTTTCCATTTCTGAATATTCTCAGATTTGGGGTTTCCCACCTAAAGGCCTTCTCAACATGCCCAACACCTGTCCAGGTCTCATGGTCCTGGAGAAGCAATGCAGAGAAGTAAGCCTCAGCCAGTTCAGACTACTCTTTGAGTTGGACACCCCCAGTTTATACACTCAGCCTGATCAGGCCCATGACAGACCACGTAGTGCACTAAAGAGAACAGAGAAAAAGACAGGACAGGAGGAGAAAGAGAAACAGCCTCTACAATTTTCAGAAAAACAGAATCTAACAAAATATAGTCAGCAATACAATTACACAGAACACAACTTCTTATTTCTTTATACAGGCATACCTAGGAGATATTACAGATTCAGTTCCAGACCACAGCAATAAAGCGAATATCGCAATAAAGCAAGTCACATGAATTTCTTGGTTTGCCAGTGCTTATAAAAGTTATGTTTATGTGTTTATTTAGCATGCAACAGCATTGTGAAAAAGTTTGAAATGTTGTAAGAATTACCAAAATATGATACAAAGAAACTAAGTGACCACATGCTGTTGGAAAAATGGTACCAATAGACTTGCTTGGCACAGGGTTGCCACAAACCTTGAATTTGTAAAAAAAAAAAAAAAAAGCAATATCTGTGGAGCGCAATAAAGCAAAGCACAATAAAATGAGGTATGCCTGTAAAGAAACACCTCCCCCCAACCTTTGGATGGAGAACACAGCTACTTAAATTCACATTAAGGAACAAATAACTGACCATGCCTTTCTTGAGAGTAGGTTTAAAGGAATGAATAAAAGCCTGTTAAACATTGTCTCTAATTGCAGAATGAAAAACATTTTCCAGTTAAAAGAATTTCATGCATTTGAAAGGGTGTGTGTATTCTATTTGGTGACACACAACCAGCACAAGCTGGTTAAAGAATACAAACAGAAAAAGATCCATCTATAATAACAACAAGAAACTTAAAAGTATCTATGAATAACCTGAAGAAAACCACACAGTTTATTGAAAAATAAAATATAGCCTGAATAAATAGGATACCCCTAGATGGAAAGATTGTATACTGAATGAAGTCAACACTGATTTTTCCCAAAATAAGTAAGTTTATATACAACTCTAAAACACCCTGGCATATATCACAACTTAATAAAGGACATTTTACAAATAACAGAGACTAAATTATTTAATAGTTAGCATTAGAAAATTTGATTAACATTTTAAAACTCTGTCTTATACAACCAACACCAGGAGATTCACATTGACACAAAACAATGAACTAAACTACAGATGTTACTCAAATTCACTTGGGTTTTGCATGCATTCATTAGGTGTGTTTGGTTTTGTATGTATGTATGTGTGTGTGTTTGTATGTATATATGTATGTATTATAGCCCAAGTGCTATCGAGTCAATTCCAACTCATGGTGACCCCATGTATGTGACAGTAGAACTGTGTTCCATAGGGTTTTCAATAGCAGTGATGTTTCATAAGCAGATCACCAGGGCTTTCCTCTGAGGTAGCTATCTCAAACTCCAACTCACTGCCGTCAAGTAAGGTCCAACTCATAGCGACCCTTCCTTGGGTTTCCGAGGCTGCATCACTATGGAAATAGATTGCCCAACCTTCCTTCTGGGAAGTGTCTGGTGGGTTTGAACCGCCAGTCTTCTGGTTAGTAGGCAAATGTCTTAGGCACTATGGGTGGGTTCAAACTGTCAACCTTTTAGTTAGAAGCCAAGCACTTTACCATTTGTGCTACCTACAGACTCCATATATATGTGTGTATATATATTATACACACACCCACACACAAGCCCATTGCCAAGAAGTTGATTCCAATTCATAGTAAGTAATCCTGTGTGACAGGGAAGAACTGCCTAATAGGGTTTCCAAGTCTATAATCGTCACAGAAGCACAGTGCCACATATTTTTCTTGTGACTGGCTGGTTTGAACCACCAACTTTTTGGTTAGCAGCCGAGCACTTAACCACTGCACCACCAGGGCTCCTATGTATGTACATAAGTCTATGAAATTCTAACACATGTATAGATTAATTATTTTTTAAGTCTAGATTCACACCTCACAGTAGATGTCAATATAAGTTGTCACTGCATTAAATAATCTTTTTTTTTGTTGTGATTTGGGTGAAAGTTCCCAAAGCAAAATGGTTTTACATTCAAAATGTCATATACATTTTGTCTTGTGAGATTACAAAAATCAATTTCTTAAGGTTTCATTTTATTTTAACATGAAACAACTACTTATTACTCAATAGGGAAGGCCTTTGTAAAGGTAAAAATCAATGGGATAAAACAAATCTAGCTATATAAAACTATACATATATATGTGTGTGTGTGTGTACATGTATGTATAAAATTCAAATGCAAATGACAAACTAGGTACAGGCAGAAACCAAATGGCAAAAATGGCTTTAATATAGCTACAAATCAATTGATTACAAAATACTCCCTATAGTGACCTGAATGGTAGCCTCCAAAAATATATATATGGCCCCATCCTAGTCCCTAAAACCCATGAACATAACCTTATTTGGAAAAAGATATTTGCAAGTATAAGTAAGTTAAGGATGAAGAAATCATCCTAGATTATCCAAGTAGGCCATAAATCCAATAACAAATATCCTTACAGGAGACACACAAAGGAGACCGAGAAAAGAGAAGGCAGCAATGTGACCATAGAGGCAGAGATTGGAGTGATGTAGCCACAAGCCAAAGAATGCCTGGAGCCACCAGAAGCTGGAAGAGGCACAACAAGACTCTCCTGGAGGGAAGGCAGTTCTGCCAGATTTCAGACTTCTTCTGGCTTCCAGACTTGTGAGGAATGAATTTCTGTTTTTTTAAGCCAACAGGTTGTGGTAATTTGTTACAGCAGCCATAGGAAACTAATATTTCCCCAATGAACAATGGAATGGGCAAAGAATTTGCAACTAAATCATTCCTTCCAAATATTTAATGAGCAACAATATGTGCCCAATAGTGTGCGATTAGCTCCTAGGACGTGAGGTTTTACATTCTCACCACTTTGGAGCTCACCATGGCTCCCACTAAGCCAGAAAGTCAGGCAAGCCTCCCTTCTCAGGAGGGTGGGACCCACTCAGCTTTTACAAAATTATCCTACATGACCCACAAGCATTGTATGACACCAAGCCCCAAGTACTGCCCAGGTGATGTACGGGCATTTTTCCCATCAGAGGGAAAAGGCACAAAGCAAAAACTCTTCTCTTGCCTGCTTGCCTGTTCAGAAGATGTAACTCATAAAAGGATCTTGCTGACCTACTTGACCTTTCTAAGCTTTCTGAAAAAGACAGATTTTTGAGATACATTTCTGGGCTCCTGAAACAAGAGTCCAACCCTCCCTTGACACCAAAATAAAGTAGAGCCTCACACACCCTAACTGGTTTTTCCAGTGTCCTTTGCCTGCCCCAATGAAGAATGTAAACTGCTTTGGCATGAGGCTCAAGGTCCAAATGGTCATTACTCTGGGGTTACAAGGCCCCCAGGACCCAATTAACACTGACCCCAGGCTCTGCAGGGAAACCTCAGCTCATGCCAAGGAAGCAGCACCCATTGCCCCATGCAGAGCAGTTTCCAAACCCAAACACAAGGAGTAGCAGCAACTAGAAGATCAGAGCAGGGTGCTAAGCCAGGGATCACAGCTTCTCCTGAGCCAGGCATCATGACCAAGCAATACTCCTCCATCAGTAGCCGAATCTTTCTTATCATCCCTTTCCCTCACACATCCTCCCCAACCACATCACACCTCTCCCAGCTCAGGTCTCTACAGTGGGCCCACAACTTCCTCCCTATGCCTTCCTCAATGCCACCAGCTCTGTGGCCAGACTGACCTCATGACCCCCACTCTCATAAGGCACAGTGACATCCAGACCATCACTCATGGTCACATCTTACCGAACTACTCCACAGCTCATGGATACTTCTCTACTTGATGAGTACCATTTCCAGGTGTAGGTGGGGCCATGGAAAATGGGTCTTGTGAAGGCACAGAGAGCACCTCTCTGGCCACTACTATATTGTTTGGGACATAGTTGGTACACAGCAAACACAGAACTATAATTTCACATTCTTTGCAGTGTTATTCTAAGCCTGAACTATAGAATTTGCACAAGTAAGACACTCTCCTGCCCTCAAAGGTTGGCAATCTTCTGGGGTACAACAAACTGTACAGGAAAACACTAATATACAGTAGAATATGAAAACTTTCCTGAATGACACATGAAAGCCAAAGGCAGATAATACTCATCCAGTTAGTGGGGAGGAGTAAGGGGTAAGAAAAAGGAGACAAAATGTGAGATGGATATGGAAGACTGAGCAGGATTTCTACAGCTGAGGGGAAGAATGAATAATAAAGTAATTGCAAGCAAAGGCAGGTGAGTGGGAAAGGAGAGGCATGCCTCTAGGGAACAATAAGTATAACATCTTTGGATGTTTTTTTTTTTAAAAAAAAAAAAAAAAGTTGAGTTAATTACAACTCATGGCAACCCCACATTGTCAGAGAACTGTATTCCATAGCATTTCCAATGGTTGATTTTTTGGAAGTAGATCATCAGGCTTTTCTTCCAAGGTGCCTCTGGGTGTACTTAAACATCTAATCTTTTAGATTAACATCTGAGTGGTTGACTGCTTGTGCTACCTAGGGACTTCTTTGGGTGCTTACCTTGTAGCAAATGGCTCGTGTTCTAACTCACCTCAATCTCAGAACAATTACATAGCAGTAAATACAAGAAGCCCCACTTGACAACAAGAGACAGAGACTCAGTAAGATTACCTGACTCAGGGCAAGCTCCCACAGTAAGTGGGAGAATCAAGAATAAAGTCTAAATTTCTTTCCAAAACCTACCATTCTCTTTGTCATATCCTACCCGGTGGATGTCATTTGCTGGGCAGAGTACATTACCCAGAAATCTCTCCATTCCTTCTTTTTGGAGGGCTTCTGCCTCCATT